GCATCAGATATCAAATGAAATTCATTTGGTAATATCTTTTGTACTAAAATGTTAAATATTCATTTCCTTGCGCAGAAGTAGATTTTTCATAACAACACTAATTACAGTTTATCTAAATCTATATATATTTATTGATGACAGCGACATACTGTCATTGAAGTATAAAAAAAACTGCGGAAGCTATAAACACTTTTCATCTTCAAACCTTGAAAAAATATTCGCGAGAGAAAACTTTTGATTAAGAGCCAAGAAAAATCTAGTTAGTTCGATTTTAAAATTATTGCAACAGTATGGTGCAGCCTTTATTTACTTAAGGAATACAATACAATAAGCAGTATTTGTATTTTCAAATGCACTGCTTTGATACAGATACTTAGAGAAAGTATTGTTCTTTTTATTAATAGAGTAACATCATTTTTGTTACTGCATTTTAATGATCAGTTAAAAAATTTGGTACAAGTTAAATAACCTTATTGTAGGTAATTACCGTAGTGACAGGGAGACGAGTATAGACAAAATTATATGTACAGGTAGGTACTATGAGCAAAAATAAGAAAAAAAGACCATATAAACGCAGATTAGCAAAACAAAATTTTATTATTTTACAGTTATATTCATTTGTGTTGCTCATTTCCGGCAGATGGACGGTAGCAATGGTTCTATTCGCTGGCCAGTTAGATCTCCAGATTTGAAATCATATAAAATCAACCATATAAAAAATGTTACTATGCTTTAAGTCACATTATATCGAATACTATCCAAATATTTAACTAATAATTGTTTTGTGGTAAACTACTACTCTGCTGTCTACAGCCCAGTCCACAATTACACGAGTAATATCAAAGCTAAATTCATCAGCAATGACCAGAAATAACTTGTTAGTCCTCATCATAAAGCCATAGGTGAGATAAGTAACATTTTAATGAACGGGTCACTATGGACGATCGCCGCGGATGATTCATCCAACGTTAATGAAAAAGGAATATATAACAAATAAATGTCGAAAGTGATTAACAGGTACGAACGTTAGATGCAAATAGAACTTGGCTTACGTTTTGTTCATCCGGGATGAATCGTAGAGGATGAACCGTGAGCCATCGCAAGTTTATTGCAGCAAGTTCGACCGATATTTGTTGAGATAAAATTCTAAGAAGATCACTGTGTCACTTTCTTGGAATTAACCGCATTCGACATTCAAGGTAGAACGACATTGGCGTAAAATTCCCTGCCGCGATAATCGACAACCGAGGTAGAAAGATATTGGCGGATAATTTCAAGCCACGCCCCAGCCGCGGTAAATTGTTATAGTAGGTCCGATAACAGAATTTTATTGGCTTATTCTTTTCTTGGAATTATATCTCAACAAATATCGTACGGACGGACTATAATCATATGCGAAAAATTTTAACATTACTTCAGAATTGATATTTTAATTTTTGGGAAACCCTTTAGGTATATAAAAAAAATTACAGACCAGATCAAGAGTGTACTGATTTTGTTAGCGTAGAAAAGATGATACTTTCAATGTTTATATCCATAATGGATGGAATGATGGAATTTAAAACTGAGTACTCAATAAAAAAGTAAATATCATTCTGATTTTTGGGGAGACTCGGACCGATTCGAAATTAATAGGTTTCATAAAGACAATGATTTATGTCAATAACGAATATAAACATTGAGTCTTATTTTCCAACGATCATAAAATAAGTAACAGACTTGATCGGACCAGTATTTTCCTCTATACATACAGGGTGTTCCACCTAAGGGGGATTCTTCTGTGACTCTGTAACTAAAATTTATAAAAAAATGGTAATAGAAGTTGCCTGGAATCATGTGGGCCAGATAAATAAAATAATATTTTTAGCTTTACAGGGAGTTCTATTTCGCGTGGGCGCTACATAACTTTGTTATTTTAAATGGAACACACTGTATATTATTGCCTTTTTTAATTCCTTGGTTAATATTAGGTGAAGTTTATCAAATGTACATGGTGTTTAAAATTTACCGTTTTCGAGATATTCAGTTGTTTTTGAAAAAGTCACAAGGTCTCTAAATGAGGCTAGATAGCATCTAAACCGTAAGAGTTAGAAACCTACAGTTTTCGCAGTTCGTTTTGGCATAAATTACTCTATCTTGTCATCTTTGAGCAAAACGTGTACTTTTCAGACTCGGAAATACTGAGACCTATATTTAAAAATCTTACGAGCTGAAAAACTTTTTTTTCAGATGGAATGACCCACATTAATTGTCATGGGTAAATGCAAAATTGAATGCCCTTTCGACTGGTATAAGGTTGTCCATAATTATCTTTAACAGTTTTCCAGAAAAATCAGGTTCTTTTCTAAAGTCCGAAAAAGTAGCTATGTAACAGCCTCAAGAAGGCCTTGCAAATCCACTTTTCTCTCACATTTTATCTTTTTTTATTTCATTGAATATTTTACCGCTGTGAAAAGAAAAATAAATTAATTATTTAAAAATATAAATAAATAAATAAATAGATAAATAAATACATAAATAAATAAAAGGGTCAACCAATGGGTTCTAGAAACTAATTTTTATCTAACTAGAAATATCTTGCTACAACAATTAATTTATTTAAAAACTAAATATTTTTAAATAAATTAACGTCTTTTTTTTCAGTGTGACAACGGGCAAACTATCCAATTAAATAAAAAAGTACTAAATGTTACAAATATGAATGGAAATATATGTAAATATTACAAATGGTGAATTTAAAGGATAATAAATACAAATGGTTCAAAATAATCTTGAAGCCGAAAAAAGATAATTGCGCCAAATATACCACAGTTCAACGTTGCTTCATTTGCGAATTAAATTTATGAAAACATGATAATTACGCAAATATTTCAAAAGATATGATGTATTAATGAATCTTGGGCAAGCGACTTAAATAAATAAAGGTACAAACAAATTCACTGTATACAGGGTGATTCATTAACAATGGGAAAATCGAAAGCTGAAGATACTACATGTGAAATGGTAACCATTGGCGCAAACATGCTTTATCCGAAAGTTGATAGTTTCGGAAATACAGGGTGTTGAAAGGTAAAATTTTAAATCGTTTTTGCGATTATTGTGAAAATATGTAGGTTAGGAACTCCATAATTTGTGAAACTATATTTTTTTAAGCAAAGAATAAGATGCGTGTTGCAATTTCAGCGTTGCTCATAGAGAGCGCCACTTACGACCAATTTTACCGAAAATTTAGTTAATAACTTTTTACCCTGTATGTCTAATATGAAACTTGATTCAAAAGCTGAAAGAGCAATCATTTTTCCATTAATTATGTATTCTAGTTTCATTTCGGTATCTCGATCCGTTTTCGAGAAAAATCGATTTAACGAACACTATATTTTGATAATACGAGAAATTAAAAGGGAAACAAACCAAATGTTTCTTCATGTTAATGTTATTACAATAATTAACAATAAAACAAATGAAATACGTAATTATGATTTAAAGTAATTGTTTGAAGAATCCACCGTTGACCCTGATACACTTTACACAACGTTATCTGAGAGATCTTCGAGTTTGAAACAACATATTGGGATTGCGTTTGACTTCGTTGCAGCGATTTGTATTCTTTGTCATAACTCTTCACGTGAACCAACAGATTCTTTGTAGATAAACTATATCTTTCATTCGAGACCAAATAGAAAAGTCAAGAGGAAGTCCGGACTTATGGATGGCCAAGCAAAAATACTTCCACGGCTTGAAGAAGTTCCACTTTAGTTAAGAAGAGACATGTGATTCATGCACGACTTAACTTTCAACACCTTGTATTCCCGAAACTTAACTTTCGGATAAGGCATGTTTGCGCCAATGATCACCATTTCACGAGTAGTATCTTCAGCTTTCGATTTTCCCATCGTTAATGAATCACCCTGTATAATTAAATTAACAGATTAGGTAGATCTAATATAGATACATACATTTTTAAATTTTATATCTTGTGTATTTTTAGATATCTATTTGAATCCAACATTTTTCTAAGATTATGTTGATATAAGGTTTGAAAGTAAGTATATATCTAGTAATAAAGGAGATATTGAATATGTACCATGAGCATATTGTGTTAAGGCCCGTTTATAAACTTTTGCCATTCCTACTGCCTAGGAAATGTATGCTTCATTTGTTAATCGTCGTTTTCGTTAAAAATTAAAATTATAAATGGGATCTTAGGAAGATATCATTATACAGGGTGTTTCAGAAAACATGGGCCAACGCTTGGGAGCAGATTCCTAAACTAAAAACAAAATTATTTTTTCGTATCAACATGGGTCCGATTTCGCTTCGTTCCATATTTTATTTTAAAACTTTAACACCCTGTAACCAAGGAACGAATCGATATCGGACCCATGTTGATATGAAAAAATAATCTTATTTTTAGATTAGGAATCTGCCCCCGAGCGTTGGCCCAAACAACCTGTATATGTATGTAGCTCATTTTATGTAGGTACATACATACATTCTTTTTGACTAGATCTTCCTAACTACTAGAAATAGATTTATGAAACTTTAACTATACACATACTAATTGTAAGCAAGTCTTCTATTGACTATGTAAAAACACGAAGGGTATATTACATTGTCAGTAACACAGTGTTCAATCGTTTTCGCAGCATAGATATTAAAAAATATAATTTTTATTCTCACTTCATTCATAACTCGTACTCTAACTGAGGCAAAGTTTTACGAGACCGCTGGCACATAGATGTATTTTACATCTCAGATTATTAGAGAATGCCTAACATTTTTAGGGGTAACCTATCCCTATACCTGGTTCCGTACCGTGACCATGGGTAAAGTTTCAGTTTGTAGGCATTATCCCTATTTAAATAAACATAATTATAATAGGTATTTCATATTTTTAAATATTTTCGTTACTAATAATATCCACAATTCGAATAACGAAATCTTTTGGTAAATTATAGTAATAATAAATAATACATAATCTATGTATATACTTTTTTTAGGTTTTCTACTGGGTAAATTCATAGCTGAACGTTCAAATATGCAGTTACAAACCGACTTTCAGGAGTTATCAAGAAAAGTTAGCATGTTAAATAACAACTTACAAAAGACATTCCCTCTTGGATTCAATGAAACGTTGTCCCAATGCAGCCAATATATTTTTTTTAAATGTAATTTTTTACAAATAGGAAAAAACGACACAGGGCAACTTTTAGCAGCAGATTATTTAAAAACGCTCAACAGCTGTTTTGGTAATAGTTAATGTTTTTTATGGTATTTAACTTAATAAAATATTTTTTTACTACAGAATTTATCAGTCCTTTATATTCATTCCTTAATATTATGTACTTATGTATGTACTTGAGAGACTTTATTCAGAAAATAAATTATTTGTTTATTATTGTTACATTATTACTCCTTACTGCAACAGATATCGAATTGTTATTCTTTTAAATATCCTAATTTGTAAAATAGTATTAGGTAATTTATTACAAAACTCTTTGTCACTGTTCAGCAAAGGATCATAAAAGATGCGCGTGGGTTGCAAGGTTATTTTAATTTTATTTTTATAATTCGTATTTTGACTGTTTGATAGTTTGAAACCTTATCGTAAATCGAAATCAACAGTGTGTTGTTGAGCAAAGAGTATATAAGTGGTATTTATGTGACCGAAGACAACATTGGAAACGGATTCGAGAAATTAATTTTTAGTTTTTAGAGAAGACCAGTTCGTTACTGCTGATAAAAAAATAATGAAGTAATTATTGAAATACTTCAAATGAATCATACAAAAATAATGAAAATGCACGATAAATATACCTATTTGCGGAATATACTTTTTTTTTAGTTTTCAGTTTGATTTTAGTCAAGAAAAAAGTAGAGGCATAGCGGTATTATAAAAAATTTTGCAGGTCTAGAAAGTCATTAAAGTGGTACCTAATAGAGACTTGCAATATTTTTACATTTTATTGCTAATTGAATATCAACAATTTATGAAAAAACAAGAATAAAACTAGTAACACATAAATTAACGCAATGATTTTTGGATAGAAAAAATAAATTGACCATTGTATTTCCGATATTTTGTCTTTTCGTATTTTAAGGTTCTTTAAGGTATTTAAAGGTACTTCTAGTGACACTTATTGACACTTATATTGTCTAATTAATTTCAAATATTTCATTATTTTAATATTTATGTACGTATGAGCAATAACGAACTTGTAAAAATTCGTTTATCAAATCCGTTTTTCTTGCGATCCAATCAAAACCTTGGCCTTTCGTTTGTTGAAATCATCGGTAAAAACGTTAATTTCTATTTAAAGGTGGCAGATTTTAAAATGGACTTTGTCACATCTACTCACCTAAAAGTGTCAGTATTTTGAGTTAAGGCTCAATTAATTAATCGAGTGATTAGGTTTTGGATTAGACTGTAAACAAGTAAATATAAAGCCGCTACCGAGTTTCATAGTACCTACCTACCACATTGCAAAAATTATATTATTAGTTGACTACATATTTAAAATCAGGCAGTTTAATAGTAAATCTGGCTCAAAGATAATTATTCTTCTAATATCGTAAAAATGACTAAATGAATTATGAAGTGAAGCGATACCTTTTTTTATAAAAAAAAATATGATTATTCAATTCAATGACGATTAATTTTTTTAATAAATCTAACAATTTTCGACCTGTATACCTAGATAGGTAAGGTATTTTTTTATGGACTTATTGAAAATGAGCTTTTTGAGATCTGAAAATACACTATTTGACAAATTTTCTCAAAAAGTTAGAATTTTACCCTAATTAAAACAAAATGTTGACTTTTCCTTTTATTCACTTATTTTACTTTAATTAACTTGATTACTATTAGAAAATAAATTGTTTGTTCATCAAAAGCTAATTATCTTCAAACAATACTTTTATAGTTGAGTTACTAGAACTTGGCGAGTAAATTACATTTATAGTCTAATCATTTGATTAACTTATTGATCCTAAAAATATTAAAAATAGTAAAATGATATCATTTGAAAGGTATATTATTTAACCCCTAACCAAGCGTGCCTATTATCCCTTTTTAAGATAAGATATTTAATTCTGATAAATTATAAATATCTTTAATTAAAAATATACAGCATATCCGCGTTAAGCTGGACACGAAACTCCCGAATCTGTTATTTGCAATATGTAGAAAACCTTCATAAATGATTGCCATGTGACCAGTAATTTTGTCTGAAACGGTCATTTTATGTCCTTCATGTTGGCCATTAAATTTCTGAAAAATTAAAAATTATTAAAATAGTAAGAACATGGTTATATTAAAACACAACATTCTGTTTTATCCGCTGTGATTGGTGTAATTTTTCACGACATAATATTCAACCAATCAGCGATGGCATTATCTCGAGTGTAGACGTTACGGTTTGTCATTGGTAATTGTAAACAAGCCATTAATGGTGATGCCAAGATCAAGGAAATTTTCGTTACCAGTGCCAATCGTGCAGTTGCCTAAGTTCGGCGGTCACATGGCTTGTAATATTTATGAAAACATTGTATTAAAAAATAAAGGTTTTTCTTTATTTTGGCTATTGCTAATGCATCTGATGTGAACACCTGCAATCCACTATATGTACTATGAATACACGGACACCTATTTTATCTGCAAAATTTGAGATATACAGGGTGTAACTTCAAGTAGGGGTCAGTTGGTTAAACACATAGCTTTTTTATAACTTTAGCGACATATCCTTTTAAAGTCCCCATGTTTCTTTTTACATGATTTATTAAATATTAACTAATATCGATACGCAAATTAATGAAAATAGTTTAGTGAACAGATTATTTTAATATGACAACGACGTGTTATTTTAATATCACCATTTTTTTTATGTTAATGTAACACCGAACATTAAAAAAAATGTTTTTAAACAAATTAAAAAAATCACATAATTTATTAAGTATTAACCAATATTGATATGTAGATATATGTTTTTGCAGTTTTAAAAAATGAACATAAAATTCAAAATACGAATCTGATCCATATAAAATATTTTTTTAAAATCGTTTTTACAACTGTAACTATTTTTTAAGCAGTGTAGTTTAGCTGAACTATAGTACTGTCACTACGTACAGTAGATTTAAAATAATTAAAATAGGGTACAGAAATACGGTATGTTTCCATTCTTTTTCTTTATTCAGCCATTTCAGTAGGGAATCGGTGATAGACATATTAAATTAATTCAAAATAAATATTAACAAAATTAAACCGTGAATAGTTTAAATTTAAGTAGAATTCCATTATGTTCTGAACGCTTCCAAGATGCAACGCGCAACGGAGGTTAGCCACCGCTGTTCTGTTGCATCGCACCTTTGAAAGCGGATACGTCGATTGTCTTCGCTCTTGATATAAAACGAGAATGGCCGTATCGTTTGATTACATTGTTAGTAAGTTTTCGACTTAATCGGTTTACGAAAGGGTGTTTATAAAATGACTTTATGCGGTATAAGTAATCTTATGTTATTTATTTCAATGTTCAGTGACGGCTTAGTGTAATTTTGTTTTAATTTTCAAGTTTTCATATAGGTATTATGAAAAAGCATGTAAACGAATCAATAAAGAGTTGATATAGTTGGAGCCTATTTTTTGTAAGAAGTAAAGAAGACGATATCACATAGATTACCGCGCGCCATTATTCTATGGCTAGAAATTGGCCTCAATGATTTGGGATCGAGGGGGATTATCCCTCTTTATCCTGCCTCATCTCGTGTAGGCCTG